TCATCGAGGTAGGTGGCCTTGTTGACCTCGCTCCGCTCGACCGTCGCCCTTGCCCTCTCCAACCATTCCTCCCTATGGTCCTCCTCGGCAGCAGCAGCGCCCGTGTCGTCGCGGTCACCTCGATCAGAGCCCCGCAGCGCCTCCTCCTCCTCCTCCTGCTGATCCAGCTCGTGGATCTCGGCCGCTTGTGGTGTGTGCCAACCAGCCATCCATCCATCCATCCATCCACCAACCCACTGACTGACCAACACGTACTGTACCTGCGCCCGGTTTGCCCATGAGTACCACCATCGTATCTTGAGTGTCTTCCTGTGTTGCTCGATGATGTCCAGCTCTGACGGACCAATGGACAACACATGCCGTCAGAAATGAGGATGGTTTGTCACTGGCGAAATCCCAACGACACTCCTCACCGGAAGAATGTCGAGATCGCTGAGAAAGAAAAGCGTTGTGCGATCTTGGAAGAATCCGTCAGATATAAGATGTAGGCAGCAATCGAAAGTGTGTCTCCGTATCTAATTGGGGGAGACACACATGATCGTATCCACCCTTCCATCACTTTGGCTCGTGTATCATCAGACGCTTACGTCGTACCCGAGCTGTTGCAGCAGCGCCTCCTCCTCATCCTGATCCAGCTGGTGGATCTCGGCCGCAGTGCGAATCGCTCAGGGATGAGGAGGGGCGCCGGACTCCATCTCGATGTGCCAGCTGCCGGCCTCCTGATACAGGTTGACCCGACCGTCAACGATGCGGGGCTGACGGCCGGTCGCCCTGATCAGCTGGCAGCGGGGTATTACACATTGGAGCAGAATCGCAACCTGTTGACACACACCACAGTGCAGCAAGATGATGAACGCATCCATTGGATCACTTGCTTGCTGTGTGCCCCATGCACGCCTCACGTGTTTGTTCGTCTCGTGGTTCCTTGCACTGAAGTGGAGCAGGTAGCCAAACACCTCCATGTACGAGTTGAACCCCTCAAACGCGCTGTGGGCATTGGGCTTGAGGCGCGGCTTGCGATGTTTGTGGCGGCGGGCATCCCTCTTGAGCTTTCTGATGGCCACTTCTATCCACAGTTCCTCATGGGAGTGGCGCCGACGTGCCATTGCGGCCGTCCTTTTCGTTGGTGGGGCTGGGCGGGGCTTGGCAGATGTTGTTTGTCACAGGCTGTCGCTCAGACGCTTAGATGCCGAATACGACAGCACACGATGCACCCAACTCGCTGCAGATGCATCCGACGCGCGCCTCGGCCAAGATCGTCACGCGCTGGTCTCGAGACTATCACCTGAGCCTCCGCACTCTGCAATGCAGGGTGGACAAATCGAGAAACCATCTAGGAATGTGTGTGCATCCACGAGTGTGAGTGACCTTGTTCTCGCCGAGTACTTTGTCGAAGTACGCTTGTGCATCCTGTCTCTGCAAGCATCGATCGGACACACACATCTCTGCAGGCCCCACCAGTGAAGTCTCAAAAAGAAATATCTTGCTCACGAATTCCTTGGCATCGGTATCGTCGCGGAACTCCATCCTATCCAGGTCGATCACCACCGGACGGCACTCTTTGGTGGGTCGACGTTGATGGCCATATTGCCTCCGGGATTCGCCTCCGCTCCCTGAAGCAGACAATTGATAGCGTTCACCAAGAATGAACGCGAGAATGAGAATGGTTCTTTCGCTGACCAGCATATCAGTGTGCAGCAGGCCAACGCTATGCAGGTGGAGGAGGCCCTCCATGGCTTGCTTGAGGAGCGTCATCAGCACGTGCTCCCTTTCCTCCCCCAGCGCCTCAGCGAATCGCCTGTCTGCCAGAGTGCCCCCTGAAGGCGACGCAGACAGCAACAACATGCGTGTGTATATCCGTGGGCGAAAGTGCGAGCGGACCGTTGATGAAGGGCATCACGGCCACCTTGACGGCGGCGTGAGGCGACCGCACCTTCAGAATGCGGGGGGCGTCAATGATGTTCTCGTGGCGCAGGTGGATGGCAGCAGCGACGTCCCATCCGTTGATTATGAACCCATTCTCATCCTACAACACACACACACACACACACACACGGGAATTCCGCACTCACTCATGCAGCCAGCCCAGCCAGCCCCATTGTCACATTGCTTACTCGCCCTTCATCCGTCTCGTAGAGCTTGAATATCTTAAAGGCGAGGCGCTCCCCTGCGGCCTTATCATAAAGGACCTCTACCCAGCCGTGAAGCCCCTCCCTGGCTGGTGTACTGCTATCCACGAAGAGTGCCGTGCTCCTTAAAGCCTTACCCACCGCCCGCTGCAACAAACAGACACACATGAGAGAGCGAGAAGATCAGGAGTCGCGAAGAAGGGGACCGTAAGGCTTCACTTCGGCTTGATATCTGCATAAGCAAGAAAGAGACAGACCAGAAAGTGGAACACAGACAGAGACACACATGTCCGTCCTTAGATACCGCGATGCACTGTCTGCCCGCAGTTGTCGCTGTGCAGGTGGACGATAGGCGCCGTCATCTGCCCGGTGATCGCGAGCAGCTGATCGATCGTCAGCTTGCGTCGCCCCAGCGGCCCCTTCTGTCTGCAGTACTCTTCCAATTTCTGCCCGCCCCCTCACGTAGTCGAGAAACAGCCGCCGGCCGATGAAATCGAGTCTGGCGCCTCCTGTGCGGCGTCAAACAGGCTGTTCTGCTCTTCTCGGTGGAACAGGTATTCTCCTGGTGTCCACTCGGTGCCCACTGCCGAAGAGACCTGCTTGCATACGACGACCCTCCCCTCTTGCTTGTCGTCACACAACATGATGGTGGTGCGGTGCTCTTCATCCACTGGTTCAAGCAGCGGCTCCTTGTCATCGAGTGGGGCAAACCGCTGTTTCTCCTCATCTGGAGTGAAGAGCCTGACTCCAGCCTCCTTGCACTCCCGCTGACCTGCATTATGCAGCGTTATAAAATGCAGAAAGAGTCAGTCAGAGCTCACAAGTGGCGTCTCCCTCTGATGGCGTGCCGTCCGTGTGCTTACACTGCTTGTATACGAAGACAACCACCGCACGAAGTTAACGCTCCTTCCTCCTCTCATCCGCAGCGAGGCGGCCCACATTAGTCGTCTTGAATCCTTCGAGCCAATCGTTCAACGGCTTCTGTGTACGCTTCTCGGTTTCTTACACTGATATGCGGGCGCCGGTGTCGCCATGGCCGCTGCCGGTGGGTGTGGTGCATCGGCATAAGTGAAGACAAGCCTCACAGATATAAAATGTAGGCGGCGATCTGTACGGAACGACAGACAGGGATGCAGAGAGGTTATGACCTGAGAGAAGACGAGACGTGATACTCTATGCTGGGGGCACAGGGCGAGGGAGGATGGATATCAGGGGCGACACACGGGGTGGGCGACGTCATGACAGATGGGGCGTGGATGCGATGGATGCGACCCCTAGCCACTGCACACACGACACCTGAGAGAAGACGAGACGCGACACAGGGAGATACACCAACACTTCTCTCAACGTATGTGTGTCTCTCTGCTTCCTGGCCTACCTTGAGCTAAATGTATTTCCGCCAGCCCTTCTCCAGGTCCTTCATGGCACCGGTGGCGGCGTGTGGTTTCGGACGGCGGGGTGGGGGAGGGAGGGGCGGTCTGTTGAGACCGGTGTCGATCTTGGCCTTGGCCCCTTTCACCCTCCCTCCGTCCCACACCCTCCGCCATGCCCTCTGCTCCCGCTGGCGCAGCTCGTCCTGACTGGGGATGCCGCCCTTGCCGGTGTGGGCTACCCAGGACTGGCGGCGCTTCCCTTTGGGAGGGGTGGGGGCGGAGTCGAGGGACTTGAGCTGTGAGGGGTTAGGGATCGGCGCGAGGGGCAGGGAGTGGAGGGTGGTGGTCGCACTGTGGCGGTACTTCGGCAGCCAGAGGTCAACGATGTGCTCGATGGCCTGAATGCAATGCAGCCGAAACACCGACAGTCTACCCTCCTTGTTTGTATGTGCGTGCGTGTGCATGTGGAGTGAGGAAGCCCTGCCCCCGCTCACCTGGTCGGTCTGGTAAAGGCCGCGCTTCAGCCGCCGCACCAGGTCCGCAGCCTCCCTGGTCTGCAATACAAGTCGAACAAACCAAGCGAACCATCCATTTCACCCATCAAATTGGTGTGTGTGTGTGTGTGTGTCGGGGTGTGTGTGTATCTGACCTTGTGGTCGCCCAGCAGCTTGTGGAACACCTTTCCGAGCTCCCGCGTGTCGTCCTCCGCATCATCCTTCTGCAAGCATCCATTGTAAAACACACACATACACACACACGAGCCCATGAATGATCTACCCTCCAATCCTAGCTGACAGAGATATGGAAACATGCACCCTTCTTACGAAGGCTTTCGTGTGTGGGGCGTCCTCGTCCCTTTCCATGGGGTCCAGGTCTATGACCGCCAGCCGCCCCTCCCTCGTGATGGGGTCCACACGCAGCCCCAGATTCTCGCCTGGACACGCCTCCGCCCCCTGAAACACACGCACACAGACAGACATTGATTGATACAAGACGGATCGATGCAGATATGTCGTCTTTGGCTTACGAGCATGTCAGTGTGTATGATGCCTCTGGCGTGGAGGTAGTTGACGGCCTGCAGCGCTTGCCGCAGCAGAGGCACGAGGAGGAACTGACGGTCCTCGCCCAGCCCCGCCACAAACCCAGAGCCGGCGAGAGTACCGCCTGAATGGATAAAGCAGGAAGAGACACATTCGCAATTGGTGGACATTGCTGCCTCTCGGCCTTTGCGTACCGTTGCAGAATTCCATCACGACCACCTTGACGGTGGCGTGATGGGTCCGCACTCTGAGGATGTGGGGGGCTTTGATGATGTTCTCGTGCCTCACTTTGGCGTCGGCCGCGATATCCCACCCGTTGGCCACATACTGGTCCTGCGAATGCACACACACACACACACACACAGACGTGCATCCATGCATGCCGCTAGCCCCATTGTGGTCTTGCGTACCCGCTCCTCCTCGGTCTCGTAGAGCTTGAATATCTTGTAGGCGTAGCGGGAGCGGTCGTGCGTATCAAAGAGCACCTCCACACACCCATGCAGACCCTCCCGCACCGGAACCGTCCCATCCACGTACACACTGTTGGTGTCGCTCTCTACCGCCCTCGCCACCTCCTCCTGCACACAAAGGCCACAGACAGATGCACGAATGCACCGCTCATTGCCAAAATGCATCCGGGGCCGTACCCTCCATTGGATGATTACATCCTCCCACTCCTCCCGTGTCAGGTGCCGGCGAAGCTGCATACAGCACCATCACGGAACACACAAATGCAACGGAATGCACGCTCCAATGAGGCGCTCACCGGCTTTCTCTTGCCGTTTGTGCGCACAGACGCCAGCGCGTCCTCCACGGCGACAAATCCTCTCGCTGACGGCATGCTGCAAGGGGGGACGCTCTGTGTGTCTGTACTGATCCATGTCTGTATGTCTGTCTGTCTGTCTGTTTCTTTTTGTGTGCGTACAGGCAGTTGTTCGTCTTGCGATCTAGGAACACGACGGCAATCTCTCTCGCCGTCACACTGGCAAACCGCAGACAGAGAGAGAGATTGGGAGAGAGAGGAAAGGGGCTGCACGCATGACGTACCCATATTTGCCGGCGGCGGTGGTTCACACACGCCTGTCGAGTCGCGTGCCGTTCGGTCGGTCGATGATGACCCGCACCTGCCCTGGGCCGGTCTCCTCGAGCAACTCCTGAAGGTCTGCACAAACAGACAGACAGACAGACAGAGAGAGAGACAGACAGACCAGCAAGCCTTCATCAGTCCGATCGGCCAGCCCCCACCCCCGCCAGCCGTAGCGTGAGTGTTTGTATGGCCTACTAGCTACACATTCTTCGTCGTCGGTGGTCTTCTCGCTCATAGTGATGACCTTCCATCCACGCTCAGCAAACTCACGGGCGAGGTTCGTCTTCCCTGTGTTTGAAGACGCACACAATGAGCTGATTGACATGTGTGTGTGGTGTGTGCCAATCAGCCATCCACCCACCCATCTATCCACCAACCCACTGACTGACCCACACGTACTGTACCTGCGCCCGGTTTGCCCATGAGTACCATCACGCGTATCTTGAGTGTCTTCTTGTGTTGCTCGACGATGTCCAGCTCTGACGGACCAATGGACAACAGATGCCGACAAAGACACACGTCCAACGAAGAAATGAGGATGGTTTGTCACTGGCGAAATCCCAACGCCACTCCTCACCGGAACAATGTCGAGATCGCTGAGAAAGAAAAGCGTTGTGCGATCTTGGAAGAATCCGTCAGATATAAAATGTAGGCAGCAATCGAAAGTGTGCCTCCGTCTGTGTCCAAGAGAGACACACATCGTATGCTCCCTTCTATCATCAGACGCTTACGTCGTACCCGAGCTGTTGCAGCAGCGCTTCTTCCTCATCCTGCTGCAGCCGATAGATTTCGGCGGGGGTGCGGAATCGGCGGTTCTGAGGGGTGAAGAGGGGGCGGTTCGTCGAGCGGCTGCTGGCGCGACTCAGTGACACTGGACGGCGGCGGATTATGTAGCGTACCCCCATGTTACAACGAGACACGGGTGCGCTCGACGCCAAGCCCACCACTCCACACCTGCCCACCGCTGTGGATAGAAGTGGCCATCAGGAAGCTCAAGAGAGACGCCCGCCGACACAAACATCGCAAGCCGCGCCTATCTCCTCCTTGGAGGCGCCGCTGTTGAGGACGGCCACGATCTCCTCCCAGGTGTGGGCGTCCTTCTCCTGCTCGCTTCTTCTCCGCCGTGAAGCATCCCAACCTGAGCTTCCGAAAGGCATCAAACGGCAAGAGAATAACTTTCGCCTTACGGTCTGCGGCGGGCATTACCCCATGTGGGCAGTCTCTCACAGCCGATGCGCGCCCGAGGGAGAGGAGGAGGGTGAGGAGCCAGGTGAGGAGCAATTTGGATGAGGAGGAGGCTCAGCCGAACTGCAAAAGAGCAGAACAAACGAGAGAATGACGAGGACGTGTTGAAAATGAAGCGGGAACTAACAGAAATGCGACCAGGAAAAAAGCGCGCCGTCCGTCTCCTGGCCGTCTCCCGGCGAGGAAGCGAAATCTCGCCGAAAAAACTCTAAGCTCGCAAACGCGCAATGAGTTGGTTGGGCTGTTTGACGTATCCTGGCTTTGACGATGCGTGCCGCATCTGCCGGGATGGAGAGGAGTCCACCGAAACGGGTCTACTTATCTCACCTTGTGGCTGTCGCGGCACAATGGGTAAGGCGGCATGGATCATCTCACGCGCCGCGCCTTGCCATTCTCATCACGTTAACGTTCCACTCCTCATGTGTGCAGGGTTCGTCCACACAGGCTGCCTCGAGGCGTTCCGACAGCAAAAGCTGCAGACAACAGGCAAGACGATGTGTGGTGATCTGCATGTGGTGTCTGATGTGTTTGCTGGTCTGCAGGTGAGCGGCCGACCAGCTGTGAGATCTGCAAGCGGTGAGGCACATAGAAGAAGGATGACCTGCTCATCAACCTGCGCTGTTGTTTCGTGTCAGTGAGTACGACGAGTATTGGCTGAGCGGTGCTCCACAGCAGAAGACAAGCCGATGGGACGCCCTTTGCCAGACGGTGTGCCTGTGGGTGGTTCCATTCGTGGCCCTGGGGGTCTTTGGCAACATCGTCACGCTTATTCCCACGCCATTGGTGTTCCCCTTCGGCGGCTCAGCGTTGGTGTACTTGATTTCCTATCTGCTGGAGTGTCTGCTTGCCCTCCACCCACAGTGCCCCAGCGGCCGACAGCTGCACTGGGGCGTCCTTCTGCTGCTGGCATTCTTCTTCGGGGCCAATGGATCGGCCTGGAGCAACCATGAGTCCGCCCTCTTGTCTGTTTGCGGCCTTGTGGTGCTGCTACCAATCAGCCTGAAGGCACATGACCACTTCAGAATGCACCGGCGGCTTCTCGCGATACATCGTGGCCAAGAGATGCTGCAGCAGGCCGGGCGCCAGCAGCTGTGCGTGTTCTATGGTTTCCTTCAGTCTTCCCACACTTTGGCGGTGGCGTGCTATTTGTCGAGAGTGTTGGCGCTCATATCTGCGACCTTTGGCTGGATCAGCTTGGCCTCGTCTCTCATGGCATTGATGGCTGTGTGGCGGCATCGGTCGTCCATCGAACGGCACTTGGTGACCTACTTTTTGCCAGGTGAAGGGACACTAGGCTCCTCGCACAGATCAACTGGCCGTTATGTGTCTTCTCTCTGTCGGTCTATGCAGCACACTACCAGTGCGCCGCCTGCAGGGCGTAAGCAGCAAAAGACCACACACAAATTGATAGGTATCAGGCACTCACCTTTGTTGTGTGATCAGCAAGCCGCCACAGGACCGCCTTTGTGCGAGGGACCCCCACTGGACGTGTTTCAGAGATTCTCTATGCACAGCGGCCTTATGTTGCCTCACCTTCGTCATCACCTCACTCCCAATATATGTGATGGTCGCCCCCGAGGCTCGGTCCTTCCCGTGGCTGGAGCTCTTCTGGCCGCTGCTGTGGCAATGCGCCAAGCTGATTATCTGCGGCTCGACATTCATGTTCGGAGATTTTCTGCTTGGTCGTGTTAGTGGGGGTCGAATTCCAGAGTGGATTCTGGTACTTCTATTGACGCCAATCGGCATGTGGGTCGGCATGACCTGCTCGGGGCTGAGGATGGGCACGTTTGTGGCCGGTCTGACCGCCGCACGGCTCCCGGCCCTGTGTGCCGCCTTCGTTGCTGACGATCTCGTCCTCCACGTCACTGACCCCCGCCGGGCGTGGAAACGAGCAACACATCTGACTGAAGTCGCCTTCCAAGAAGCGAAGGCCGGAACAGCAGCAGTGGGCCTGCTGGGTGCCCTCTGTCTCACGTGTTGCCTCCTGGTAACATATGGTGGCCTGGTCTTCACGATACGCGTCGCTGGTGCGGCGTGCCTGGCGAGCATTGTGTCGGTTTGTGTTTATGGGATCGGCATGTGTGTGAAGATGTTGGTCGTGGATGCCTAGTATGTGATGTGTGCAAGCCCGCATAAGCCACTGCCGTCGACCCAAGACACTCAAGAGACAGACCTGGGTGAGATATGTATGCCATCCATATGTGTTGACATTCATCGTGTTTGGGTGGGGTCAGTGCATGCCATGCAAGCAAGAACCATGCACACGCGTTGTGAGAAACACTACAGGCACACCCATATCGCCGGCCGCTCCTAAATTGCATCTCTTCGAGAAGCCAAACGAAAAAACTCGCTCGCCTCCATGTTAGTTAGCCATGCGCAGTGCCTTACACACTTGTTCACACCCAAAAATACCTCACTCTCACCTCATCACTCCCCACGTCTCCCCTCCCCTCCCCTCTAAGACAAGAAAAGTCGCCTTCTCTCTCTCGATTCGTTTATTCTCTCTGCCCTGGAGGTCTCTCCGTCCTGATGTTGCTCACCGCTCTCGGCGCCGTCATGGCCCCCCTTCGCCGCAGTGTGCGCTTCCGCCACTTGAGCGAGCGCTGTGCCGCCTCGCTCACACACGCCTCTGCCGTCACTCTGCCGTGTGTGGCCGATGGGCTGCTGTCGTCGCGTGATGCGGGTGACTCGGAGGGCGGGGAGGGGGCTGGCGCATCTGATGGCGTGTCGATGCGAGCAGAAGGGGAGGTGGCTTCTGCTGGGGGCTCGGCGGTAGTGACAGTGGCCTCGCGTTGGCTCTTCTGCGCCGACTGGGCCTGGCTTGATATGATCGTCACCCTGCCCCGACAAAACAGAGGCAGAGCGATGCATCGACCACGAACCGTGAGATGAATCGTATTGTCCTTCCCTTACTCCCTCCCTCCCTCCCTCCCTTCCATCCTCACCAGAAGATTGATACGAAGCCGACCCACAGCACGCGCAGGTCGGTCGGCACCAGCCCATAGGTAACGAGCGACACAAACGGCCAGAATTTGAGCCCCGCTATCACCAATGGAATCGCAGACGCCTTTATGGCACGCCAGATGACCGGCAACGGATCCAGCTGCACGCAACACACACACCAATCAACCACACGAACGTCCACATCACACACATCCGTTGTCTAGACCATCTTGTGTATCTATCTGCCATAGTACCTCCAGTATGCCGAGATAGAGCACATAGCAGGCATTCCAGAAGGGCGCGAAGACGGCCCGGTCGGTGACGATCTTGCCCAGGGTGGTCGGCCAGTAGCTCTCCCACTGCAGCACCGCCTCGAAGAACAGATCGTTTAGGTGGTACCACACGTGGCTGAGTGGTCCGTGCAGCAGGAGACCGGCAGAGGCGGAGCGAAACAGCCGAAGTCGGTCGATGCCAGCCAGCCCACGGCCTTCATTCATCTGCACACGCGAGATGGCAACCAAGGAAATGTCTGGTGGTTCCCCTGCCTGTCTGCCCCTGATCTGATGAGTCAGTCGTTCGTTCCTTGCTCACCCACCCCCCCACCCACCTGAGCCGTCCAGTCCCCGATTGCATAGACCACTCCTGATGTGAGACCCTTGGTGACTACGGGGTCATCATGCAGCATCCGCATGTACACATTCAGGTTGTCGAGCGGCGCCCGCATCAAGATCTCGCTCGTCGTCCACCCACGGTAGATGCTCTCATCCACACGCAGGAAGGACTGGGCAGTCGTGACGGCCATGATGGTGAGAAACACCAAGTTGAAGAAAAGGTTGACGAGCCTCTCCTCTTCTCTCTTGGTCGCCACGAGGCCCTTGAACAGCACCGGGGGAGGCTCCTCAATCGCAGGTACGGCGCCGACGGCCTTGAGAGCCGACTCATCGGGGAGCAGCACTCGATTGACGAGGGAGTCGATCTCAGCATTGTACATGGGCCGCCAGTCGTTGGCGAGAAGCTCCCTTGTCATCGTGTCGTAGACATCTTCCTCCTTTGTCATGTTGCCCGACACGAAGACGCCGGTCCCATTGAACCCATCGCCATTGGTGGGGACAGTAAACGACCCTTCTGGCCCAAAATTAGCCTGCAGCAGCTGCCGGGCGATCTCAGCCGCTGACGAGGCAGTTGGTGCGGCACTGCTGGCCGCTTCATCGATTAATGCTGCTGACGGCTCCTCTTGCGCCTTTTGAGCGAGATAGCCGGCCACCACAGAGCCGAGCGACTCCGGCTCGTGTAGTCGTATGCTGACGGGCTCTCCGTTCTTGTCAAAACAAGGCCGTGAGCAGCGGGGGATTGCCTGGACGGCACTAAGGACATCCGGCTGGCCGCCTGTCCTCTGCATCGTTGGCACATCAGAGCTGGACACAAACTCATGGACGCCAGGGAGGCCCTTGGCAGCCAGGAACACCCTCAGCGATGGCCGAGAGGTGCCGTCACCGGATGGCTGCAGCAGCGCCAGGCCGCATCCCTCCAGCTTGGACTCGTCCTTGCACGCCGCCTTCATGCACGCCGATGGCCACACTGTCACGAAGGATGCGAAGGCAGGGAAAGAGGCACCTCCTGGCTGCGAAGGCTGCACCAGAGTCAGCGGATGGAAGGCCACAGACATGCCCTCCTCATCAGATGTGGAGGGGCACGGAGTGAGTGGCCGCGGCCCTGACAGAGTCGACATAACGCAGCCGCCCCGACCCGCCGCAAAGGATTCCGTCAATGCGGTCTTGAGGACGTCATCCACACATCGACTGAGGTCGGCAGGGTCCTCTTGCGGCGGGGAAGTGCCAGACGCAGTCGAGGGAGCCACACAGTCGGCAGCTATCTCCATGCCAGCCGCAAATCCTCCCAGCACGTCAGATAACGATGCATCAACGCCCTGGCCTTTCAAGAAAGTCCCAATGTGGCCATCGACGCGGTCAGTCAGCAGCTGACTACTGGCTGTTTTCGTCGCTGCCAGGGGCTTCGTTCGCAGACGGGATGGCGACACTCTAGTGATGAGTGGCGGTGGCTGTGCTGGCGGGAGGAAGGCCTGCGACGCAGCTGGCAAGAGCGCCACGATGCAGCTGAGCGCATTCATCTTCAGCTGAAGGGCATCCTTCAAGTTGGTAATTGTTGATCGGATCTCTTTGCCGACGTGCCCACGGGCATTATGCACACATCAGATGTATCAAAACCGCTCTCGTGAGATCCGCAACTCAGCTCGCAGCAGCTCGCCTTTTTCAGAGAAGCTGCTGAAAGGAAGAGAAGGGGCAGGCCGGCCGTGCAATCTCCGCTGTAGTCTTCCCGCTCGTTGTTGCGCTGTTGCATCTGCATATCGATGGATGACAAGGCTGGTGCCTCCGAGAAACCGGCGTCCTCGCCGGCGTCAGATGCGCCATCACACGGCAGGCTGGAGTCCATCCGTTCGAATGCTCAGCCGCCGAGGTTTCATGCCAACGCGCCACCGACAGCGGCGACCCGCACGAAGCCGAAGTTCATCCGTGAGGCGTCCAACGCCAAGAAGAGGAAGGGCGACGGCGACAATGACGACAAGAAGAACGAGGCCAAGATGAGCAGCAGCGACGGCGACAAAACGACTGAGGAGAAGGACAAGAAGATCGACGGCAAGGAGGGCGGCGTCATGAATGAGGACGAGGGCAGCAACAACCCGCCTCCGCCCAAGAAGCGCAAGCGTCTCAAGAAGCAGGTGGACGACGACGAGGAGGAGCGGTTGGCGGCCATCGAGGAGGAGAAAAGGCGCAGGCGGGAGGAGAAGGAACGGGAGGAGGAGGAGCGCTGCCTCAGGGAGCTGCAGCAGTGCCGCGACATCTCGCAGCAGATGGTCGCTGCCATGGTGGATGCGCTGGGCGGGGAGGATGAGGGCAACAGGGAGGCCATACGGGCCACCTTTAGCGAGGGCAGGTGTCACGCCAGTGAGGCCTTCGTCGAGGATGAGGGAGTGGAGGCTGCGGCGGGTGGTGTGTGGGAGCGGCTCAAGGAGTACCAGAAGGCCGGCGTCATGTGGATGATGACACTCCACAGACACGACCGCAATGGCATACTCGCAGGTGGGCGGGCGGGCGGGAGGGAGAGATGGATGGGAGAGACGACACACACACGCGCATCCACACACACACACATAATGTTCTGTATCCATTTAGATGAGATGGGTTTGGGCAAGACGGCTCAGACGCTGGTGTTCCTGCAGTGTCTCTACAAGCAGGAGGACACGGCTCCTGAGAACGCCAGTCTCATCCTGGCCCCGGCTGGTCTGATTGAGAACTGGCTGGCGGAGATCCGCCGCTTCTCGCCCGACCTCAATGTGCTCAAGTACCACGGATCGCAGAAGGAACGAAACGACGCTGGGGTGAGTGAGTGAGTGCACGAGTCAGCAGGCAGGCACATCCCGCCATTCTCCCTTCTTTACGTGTGTGTGGGTGGTGGCGTCAGGTCAAGTTTGACTGTCAGCACCCGCAGCCGTATGACATCATTCTGACCACCCCAGCGGTGTTCCAGTCGGACAAGAGCTTCTTCCGCAAGAAGGCCTTCGAGTACGCCATCGTCGATGAGGCGCACGGACTCAAAAACGCAGAGAGCAATCGCACCAGGTGGGGGGAGGGTGGGTTAGAGGGAGGGAGGAAGGGCAAAGGATGGCACATGAGTGGTGATGTTCTCGTGTGTGGTTCGGTGTCTGCAGGGCGTTCAGCAACACCAAGATCCTCAACGCCGAGAGGCGACTGCTGCTCACTGGGTGGGTGACGCCACACAACACACAACACACACGCACAAGGACATCAAGACACACTCATCCTTTCCTTTCAGGACGCCCATCCAGAACGACACTGTAGAACTCCGCCAGCTGTTGACTTTGGTCATGCCGACCCTCTTCACGATGGAGAACCTCGAGCAGGCCACCAGGGCGTACTGCAACGCATACGCGGCCGAGAGGGCCCTGATGCAGCACAAGGGCGGCGCGAGTGAGACCAACGGTGCGGCATCGTCATCGGCATCAGCATCAGCTTCGGCATCGGCAGCAGTGGGCGAGGGCAGCGGCAGCAGCGAAGTGCAGCCGGAGGTCCGGTTTCTGCAGGAGATCCTGGCGCCATTCATCCTCAGGCGACTCAAGGCTGAGGTGAGCTCGCCCACCACACCACACCCCACTACACAAGACACACATGTGTGTCGCGTGCGGTTCCTCTCTCTCCTCTGTCTGTCTGTCAGGTGACTCGTGACTTGCCGTCCAAGATAGAGATAGTGGAGCGGTGTCAGATGGAGGGGCTGCAGCTGGCCCTGTACCGGCAGCAGCTCGACTCGGCCCGCTCGTCGTTCGCCGAGAACCTCAAGGCGCTCCCGGGGCTGCGGGGCAAACACAAGGACAAGGACAGCAGCAAGGAGCAGGAGGGCGACGCCGACGGCAAGAAGGACAGTAGAGAGGAGGAAATGGGCGAGGAGGGCAGGGTGCTCAAACAGGTATGCCGACACAGACACACACACACACACACATGGGTGGATTGGGTGGTGTGTGGTGTGTTCTTCCGTGTGTTGCTCAGTTGCTGGCCAACACCCAGGCGGCCAAGAAGCACGCATCCCGGTTCAAGTTCGTGGGCAGCCTGCTGGCGCGGCTGAGGCGGGTGTGCAACCATCCCCTGCTGCTGCAAGGACACTACACGCCCAACCAAATCAGGGTGAGTCAGCACGACAGACGCAACACCAACCTGCGCAACCACATGCACTCTCTGTGTGTGTCTGTGTCTGGGCAGCGCTTGGCCGAGCATTTGGTTCGTCGCGACGAGAACTACGTGACCAAGCCTCTGGCGACGGTAGAGGACTACCTCAAGAGCCACAGCGACTTCGAGATCCACCAGCTGGTCATGACGCACCCCGCCGTCAGCGACATGCTCATCCCGCCCGACAAATTCCTCGAGTCGGCCAAGATCAAGTGCGTGAGGCGAGAAAGAAACGAGCCCATCCATCCATCCATGCATCCATTGCTTGTGTGTTGTCATGTCTGCAGGAGGATGCTGGAGCTGCTCGACGAGCTCGAGGCCAGCGGCGAGAAGGCGTTGCTCTTCTCGCAGTTCACGACCTACCTGGACGTCATCGAATACACGCTGTCTGTGCACCGGCCGTCGATGCGGCTCCATCGGCTGGACGGCAGCACCCCCATCGCCGAGCGGACAGAGATCGTGGAGAGCTTCTCGACCAAGCCTGAGGTGCGGATGCTGCTGCTGTCCACCAAGGCCGGCGGACACGGGCTCAACCTCATCGCTGCTAATCACGGTAGGTACCCATACACAAGTAAAGGTCCCTTCAGGAGGGGGACGGGATGGCTGTGTGTATGGTATGGTCGTGTGTGTGCTGCTGGCTGTCTGTTGTGTGTGCTGCTCTTTCTTCAGTGATACTGATGGACCAGGATTGGAACCCACACAACGACCGACAAGCCGAGGACCGCGCACACCGCATCGGTACGTACGGATGTGGAACACATCACATACACACACAGACACACACACATATGGACGGATGGAGCCCCATGCAACCCAATTAACGGCCATGTCATTGACACCTACCTGCACTGACTGCACACAGGCCAAACCCGTGAGGTCAAGGTGCACCGGGTCCTGTGCCGGGCGTCCGTCGAGGAAGCGATCCTCAAGGTATGTATGTCAATCGCTCAATCTGCCATCATGTTCGTTGGCTGGCTGCATCAATCAATTGTTGCTGTGTGTGTGGGATTCTGTCTGTCTGTGTGTAGTGCTGCCAGCGTAAGCTTGATCTCGATGCATCCTTTGGCGGCAACACCGACCTGCTGCAAGCCGCCATACTGCAGGTAGCAGCCACACACACGCACAGCTGGCTGTGCGTTCATGTGGCTGTGTGTCTGTGTGCCTGTGGCTGTGCATCAGGATTGTCTGTGTGGTTCATCCCCGTCTGACAACGAGCAGCCCTCGCCGTCCCCCGCTGACCCTACCCCCACCTCCGCCCAGCAGCAGTCCTGAGGAGCAGCGGCAGGCAGACAGACAGCCAGACAGACAAATAGACACAGACAGACAGACAGACAGGACCCTCAACAGTGTGGATGAGACCATGAAGGACAGGTGACGTGAGTGAGTGAATTTCGTGGGTGCGTATGTGGTGCGTTGACCTCCTCCTTGACTGAGGTTTTGACACTGAGTGAGTGTTGTGAATGTCCGATGCATTCGGATTGTCCGCTCAGTGCGCTCCTTGCCCTGTCCGTGTCCGTCAAACATATTCATCAGCCACTGGCTCACTCTCTCCAGCACAAACATCTACCACTTCGTCAGTCTCTCTGTGTGTGTGTGTGTGTGGCCATGGTCCGTCCCAGCTCTCTAGAGCAGGGGTGCGACTTCGGATCCGTCCATCCAGTGAAATCGTTCACATCTCTTGATCGGGAACAGGGGCTCAAGTGTCAGTCAATCGGACACGAACATCATGTGGCGTCAGTCAGCCATCAGTCAGCCTTTTCTGTGTCGACCTCACTTGATCAGTGCGGTCAGTGCTTCAGCTCAATGTCACTCTGTTTCTCGATGTCAGCTTGATCAATCCTGAGCTCAGTGGCCCTTGGTCGGCCGGATCGTTGCTGACATGGTGGTCGTTGCTGACACACACACACACACACAGACGCACTCACGAGTGCGTGTGGATACGCAAGAGAATTCAGGCGGGCGGCTTACTGTTGATCCACTGCGTCACTTGCTGGTAACTTGCGGCCATGGCGTCACTTGTGGTCATCTCGCGAAACAACTCCTGCAGACACATACAGATCCTCCGCACACAGGGGATCACATCCACATGCAATGTGTCCCCCGCCCCGCCCGCTGACCATGATTTCGTCCTGTGTGGGTGGTGGTGTGATGCCCTCGAGTGCGCCAGTCAGCTCGGCCGCCGTGACCGTGCCGTCACCGTCCACGTCGAGTGCCCTCAACAACTTGTCCAGCCGCTGAGTGTTCTTGCGCACGCGCTGAACACAACACACTTATGGACATGCGACATGTTTGCGTGTGTCGTGCATTCCTTACCTCTTCCTCTGTCTGTTCCTCGCGACGCAGGATGATCAACACCAACGCGATGAATTCCTCCCGCGACAACAAACCCTGGCAAGGTTCCATACATGCAGCTGTGTGTGTGTGTGCTGTGTATATGTGTGGTTGGTGTACGTTCTTGTTGTAGTCGATGGCGTCAAACCATCCATCAACCATCTTCGTGACATCGCCCGTACCCAAACGCAGCACACCGACCATCGACACGGCACTCTGGTCACACACGCACAGCACAAAGGATGTCTGGTGTGTCTCCGTGTGTCTTCGTGTCTTGTGTGTGTGTGTCTTGTGCTGCCAGCCTGTTTGGTGATCTGTGGCTCGGTCTCTGTGCTGGGCTGCGTGGCGAAGGCGTCGAAGAGGCTGTTGATGAGCACGCGCACCGACTGCGGCAAACGACTGCACACACACAGACAGATGTGAGACGGATCGTTGTCTGTGTGTGGTATCTGTCTGTGCTCACTCGAAGAGTTGTCCGATCCTCCTCTTCTCCGAGTTGACGTCCTGTGCGGCGGGAAACGCTCCGAGGCTGGCCTTGTGCTCCAGGTAATCGATGAACTGCATGTGGCGGGCCAGCTGGCGACGGAATGAGCCTCCTCGACCTATCACATCACACACACGAGCACTTGAGATGTTTTATGTGTGTGTGCTGATGACGGATGGATTCATTGCATGCATACCTGTCTGATTCGGTTCTAATCGGCCATCATGTCCACCGAAGTGAAGACCGTCAGCGACACGATGATGCTGGGCCTGTACCAACACACGGAGACACACATGTGCATCTGTTGACACGTGCTTTTGTGTGCTGACCAGAAAATGATGAGGTCGATGGCGAGAACAGCGAGGAGGATCGCCAGCCACAGCCGGCCGTAGCTGATGTGCGCCCAGATGGGATGCGTGGCCAGCACAGAGTATATCAGCACCGTCAGCAGCACGACGTGCAGGAAGAGAAGCACCTGCAGAGCCCGCTGCATGTAGCCACTCCCCTTGGCCGTGAAGAGCAGGAGAGACTCGTCTCGGTGGACCAACGAGGGCAGCCCGAAGATGGCGTTGATGGCACGGCTGATGGCGTTCTGACCAGACGGAATCACCACTGGGTCCTTCTCAACTGCCGCGTGAACGCGGTCAGCTGATCATGCACACACATCCATGGTGTGTGCAGTTGCGTGTGTGTGTGTGTGTGTGTCTCAGATGTTCCTTACGTGTGCCCTGGTGGATCTCCTGAGATACGCTGACGACGTTGGGCTCGACATAGCTGCGCTTCTTGCCGATGTGGACGCAGAAGGTCAGCGACACCAGGAAGAGGCCCGCCAGGCAAACTGAGAGGAACACCGCCAGATCTGTTTCGCCAAGTGACAACGCCGGCCTGTCACAGACAGATGTGACATGAGAGTGTGTTGTGACACTGTGTGTGGAGCCGGCTGTACTTGGCAAGGACGGCGACTGCCAGGAGCACCATCCTGCGTGTGAGAGAGAGAGACATGTGTGGTGTGTGCATGTGTGCATGTGTCTCTGTGTGTGGGTACCATGACGTGACGGGGATCTCCACGAGTGACGTCAGGAAGTCGAGCAGACTCACTGACAGATACGACGCGAACGAGAAGCGAGACGGCTGTGTCGGCTTGGCGATGAACATGTTGTCGTTGCTGACATGTAGATGGACACGCACACAGAGAGACATGACACGGCCGTCTATCTGCTAGCGTCCCATCGCTGACTGGCTGATTCACGTACGTGAAGAACAGGTGCTTCGTCCCCCAGTAGCTGATTGCCGCACTGCTCACGCCCCGCCGAGAGAGGTCGGCCATGGTGAGTTTGTCGTATCGGTGCCAGACGTTGGTTTGGCGGAGTGCGAGAGTGATGAGGAGCGTCGTCATCAGGATGAACGTCACCATGACCGCAAACACAAAGTAGTGCACCGACTCGAACACTGAATACACACGTAGACATGTCTCTCTCCCTCTCTGTCGTCTCTGTGTGACTCACGTTCGAACATGTGTGTGATGGCCATTTCCTTTGGCTCGTGGTGTGACGTCAGCTCGCGGACGGCGGTGGCCTCGATGCGGTCGATGCCGAAGAGGCTGTCGTTGATGGCCTTGACAATGCCCCACCGAACCGCAGAGAACAGCAGCAACGCTATGAAGCCCAAAATGGTCAACTCCTGCACTCATCCACACACACACGCACAGAGAGAGAGAGAGAGAGAGAAACCGGTGAATGTGTGTGGTTGGACGGGCGTGTTGCGTGTCTGTGGTTACCCGTGTGGCGGCCTGAACCATCTGGAGGATCTGCTTGTGCTCCGGCGAGTCGAGGGAGCGTACCAGACGATGGTGGCCAAACTCTGATGCGCACACACACATGCACACACACACACACAGGTTGATTGAATGCATTGGTCGTGTTGTGTTTGTTTGTGTGTGCGGCTGACCGAAGACAATGGTGAGGAACAGAATAAGGACGGTTAAGCCGATCACCACGGTGTTCTCGCTGATGGTCCCTGCAGCCTGCTGCGTCGATTGATTGACGGTGGCAGAGGTCATGGGGTTGAGGCTGATGAGGAACAGCGTCATCAGCTGCAAGAGCTCAAAACTCGTCATGCTGATGCACTCACTCACACACTCGCTCAATCAACGAATGAACGAATGAATGACTGACGCGCTCCGCCTGTGCCTTGCTGCCAATAGTCACCAGACAGAGACACGAGCTATGCACGACCGTAGATGTATGTACATGTGTATGTGTGTACGCGATCGATCGTGTTCGAAACGCAAGAGCATTTCACAATGAAACCGACGGGTCCCTTTACATATGTACATTCCGCCCACTCACCCACCCACCCAACCGCCCACCCGCCACATCCATCGACGACGAATGATTGGTCTCTCCGCTCCGCTCAGTGTACACACCAGAGCCCCGGCTCAAATGAGGCAGCCATTCGTTACCTGTTTGTGTCAGTAGTTGGTTGCCGTGGTACCATCGGCCCAGTACGGCTGTGGGTCGCCATAGGCAGACGCCGTGAAGGGCATCTTCTGAGGCCGGGATGAACTTGGGTAGCAGCACGCAAGCACCAACCACAACTGAGCGAACACCACACAGCACAAGGACAAAGGCATCCACAAGGTAAGTCTTTATCTTGTCGTGCCGCCCACCCGTTCTTGGCGACGCTGAGAACACAGGGAATGCACATTAGAAACGCGATCATCGCCTGAAGACACGACCAACGATTTTCATTGCAAAAAGGCGTCTGTGTGTCCGTGTCTGAAAGCGCGCTGACCACGAAGTCGAGTACGATGACCCAGGCCAAACGCGGCAGACCCAAAATATACTTGGGCTCACCATCTGCCGCCAGTCACACACAGGCGTGGGGCTCGTAATGTGCATCTCTTTCCTTCTCTTTCGGCTCACTCACTTGGTGAGAGGAATAGCTGGAGGGTCTCGTATGCAATCCTGCTGAGTGTCAGGCGGTCCTCTCCCTCCACAGGAATGCTAGTAGTGCCACCCGGAGCAGCAGACGAGGCAGGCTTCTGCCTCTCCGTGCCTTGCGAGGAATTCTCGCCGTGTTTGGGCGCCAACACGACTCCATGGTTGCCCTTGTGGTGATGGTGGTGGCCCGGGCGGCGCTGCAGAGATACCGAAGAAGATGCGGGATGGGTATGGTTGCTGGCCGCAGGGGGATGGTAGTTGTGGTTGGGATGCTGATGCCAGCTATGCGGGCGTCGGTGGTTGCGCCCATCATTGAATGGATTATGGGCTTTTGCCGTTGTGATGATGCCTCCCCGGTCCTCGGCCTCGTCCTCCCTCTCTATCATTTGCTCCATGGCCGGCGCCAGCTTGAAGTGCGGGCGCTGCGCAGCGTGGAACTGCAGCAGAAATGAGTGGCCATCGTCGTCGCCGATGGTCCGCGGGCGGCTGAGGTGGTGCTGGAGGTCCACTCGCTGGTGCAGAGGTCGCGCAACGGGATCAGATGCGGACAGCTGTTCGTGCTCCTTGGATGAACCCAGTGCCGTGATGGATGGGCAGAGCCATAAGAGAATGCAAAGGGGAGCCAGCTGCCACATGGTGCATTAGAATGGTAGAGATAAACGACTTCTCCAAACGGCGAAATCATCCGTCATGCATTCTCGCCAACGCGAGCTTAAACTGCGCCGAATCTGTGTCAGATCTGACGCAGATCCGCGTCGTCTGTGGCTCTTATAAGGCTGCTGCTCGTGCAAAATGCAGATTGACCCATCGGCCATGCTGACAGCAATGGGCGTCTTCGACCATTCATACCAGCCACAGCTGTGGCCCTCCCATTCATGTAGTGCTGTATGATGGCGAGGAAGTGATGACCCATGGACATATACATGTCTATCTCTAGAATGCATATGCATCGCGCGGTGTATCTCAGGCATGATGTGTCTCAACCATCGGTCTGGTTCTTCTGTCTATCCCAGCACTTGCGGCGCCTCCCTCCCTCCCTCCGTCACTTCTCCCCCGCCCATGAATGAATCAACACAAGACGTCACCGTCATGGATATGCACACAATGCAACACCGACCAGCAGCCAGGCACCCTCTCCAGACAGACAGCCGTAATGTACACGACAGACAGACAGACACCACACACGAGTCATGATTCTGCGTGCATGGATGCCCTCCCTCCCTCCCTCCCTCCCTCTATCATCTGTGACTCAATGGTTGGTGTTAGGTCAGGTCACTTTTCGCTTCTTGCTCCGCGTCACGTATGTCGGCTCAGCCGCAACGGGCACAGCGGCAGCAGCAGGGACAGAAATCGGCTGGTCGGCGGGATTGTCGGGCGCCACAGCCCCGACCGCCGCAGTCACCCTCGGCCGCTTCTTGCCGTCGCCCGCCTCATGGTTCCTCTTTCGCCCCTTGGCGCCTCGCTGCCCTCCCTCGTGCAGCTCAGTGTCCGCCGCCCTCTTGTTGTTGGTCTTCTTGTTGTTCTCTGTCTTGCGGGCTTTCTTGGGTGCGCAGCCCTCCTGCTTCTGACTGGTCGGGGGGTCGTTGGCAGTCAGCATCGATCGCTTCTTGTCCCGCTTTTGCTGCTCCTGCGGCAGTCCGAGCCCTGGCGCCCGGCGCCTTGTGTGCATGAGCAGCTTCTCCTTGTGCTGGGCGACGGCCCGCTGGGCGGCGTCGAGGAGGAAACCGAAGGGCAGAGTGGCGATATCAGGAGCACCCATGGTGGTCGGGTTGAAGGCCTCACACACCGCCTTCGGCTGCACAATCATACGTACAAGAGAGGCACAGAAATGCAATCATGGATCGACGGATGGATTGGGGATGTTTCTTCCGCCCACCAGGGAGTGGGTGTTGATGCGCGCCAGGGCCCGTGCGATCGTGAGACGCGCCAGATGCTTGACAGCCACGTCTCTCGTGCTCACGGTCGGTGGCTGCTCAGTCAACTCGTACAGAAGGGGCCTGCATGGATTGCACACAAAGCAACCGCATGCACAATGGATGGATGGATGGATTCATGTGCTGCATGACTGAGTACATGTTCTTGAGTGTGTTCTTGACGGCGTGTGAGAGCTGGTTGGCGATCTTGGTGCGATGCCTGACGCCGTTGAGAGTACTGATCCCCCACTGGTCGACTTGGTCACTGTTCATGGGGGCCGAGGCGAACAGCTGCACACAAGACACAGACACGACACGCACACAATGAAACTGAGCTCCCCAAAGAGACAGACGTACCACGCAGATGTACTTACGTGTTTGAATCTGAGGAAACTTTCGCTGCCGATCTCGCCGCCGCAGATGTCGAGCAGCGACTGCACACGGAGGCCGTCGGCCTCGGCTGCCCCCACGGCGGCCTCGCACACCACGCGCACCGGATCGTGGTGACACCCAGCACCGCCCTCGGCATGCGCGAAATACGCCTGCAGGCATTCAAAGACAGTGCGGTGTGGGCCGTGTGTGTGTGAGTGAGTGAGTGATTGTGTGCGTACCTGGACGAGCGAATTCAGTTTGTCTTGTTGCGCCTGTGTGCCGGTCTCCTTGGTGGACAGGTACAAGGCCATGAAGGCCGCCTCCAACTTGGCAACACTATTCCTGATCGATACACACACATGGACATGGATGGACGCCACACACAGAGAGAGAGAGAAGAACACTTACAAGCCCGTCCACTCACCCACCATCCCACCCCTGTCTGTGTATCTGCCTGCCTGCCGCTCACTCACTTGAGTGTCTCATACTGCTTCTGTAGGGTAGCCTCCACAGCCGCCCTGATGCCCTCAAATGCATGCTCACGACCATCCTCCTGGTGCTCGCCTCCCCTCATGACAACCACCACGCCCCACGCCTGCCAATCGCACCTGCCCACCGTGAAGCCCTCGCCATTCGCCGCCTTGGCCAGCTCCTTTGACAGCTCCCGTGGGTTTTTGCCCGTAGCGGTGACGGCATTCACCGCCCGCACACTCCACACACCATAGGTATGCTGCGTGGCGCTGGCCATGAAGGACCGCATGAAGTCGGATTTCTCGCACACGGCGTCCTTGGTGGTCCGAACGAAGCGCAGCTTGTATGTGAGGGGCACGTTGGGGTAGATGCGAGTGGTGCTGGTGGTGGGTGGGTCGTCTTGCTGCTGCTGGTGCTGGTGCTGTATCGTGTGGTCGAGCATGCGGAAGAAGGTCGTAACATCACCGGGTGCCTGGGCCTTGAGGGCCGCCATGGCGTCAGTCAACGGCAGACTGACGGCCACTACACGACCACCACCACCATGGGCACTCTCAGGCTGCTGGTCCGATCGGCTGACGTGTGTGGGTGTGTGGCTGCTGGTCTTGGTGTGGATGCGGTCGTCCATGAGTGTGCAGGCCAGGCGGGTGGCCGCCGAGGGGTCCACCAACGGGACGCTCGCGTTGCGGTGCATCACGAGAAGGTCCTCGGGACGCACAAAGACATGAGAATGGCCGCGGTGGCCATCAGCACCTGACAGACAGACAGGCAGGCAGAGAGAAGGATACATACTGTGAACGTGTGTCGGTCGGTCGTGCTGTGCGCCCCGCGTCCATGTGTGTGTACGCACCGTTGTCGTGCGGCTGTCCGCCTGTGCATTTGGTGTCCTTGACGTAGTTCTCGATCGACTGGGGGATGGTCAGGTGGATGACCCCATCCACGCGCGGCGCGTGGCCTGCGTGGACGAGGTCAACGCCACTCGTCGCAACCAACACGCGAACCTTCCCTACACATACATAGACACAACACAACACAACACATGTGCGCATGTCTGGCCATATCTGTGTGCTGTGTGTGTGTGGATTGATGCCCATAGCCCACTCAGTCCCTCACCTGTCATGAATCGGTCCATCACGGCGGCCAGCTGTCCCCTCGTGCGGCCTGAGTGATAGGTTTCCACCTCCCCAAACAAACCTGCACACATCACAACACGCACACGTGCACGTGTCATCCATCCAACCACCCGCCTGTCTCTCTGAGTGTTGTTTGTGTGCGTCCTAGCGTACGTGTTTTCATCAGAAAATCTGCAAGCATCTCAGCGTCCGACTGCCGCCACGCAAAGACGACGATGGTCTTCATGGCCGCCCAGGGCTGTTTCCTGAGCAGCGACTTGACCTCACGGACACGGTGGAAGTCCCAACGGTGCTCGCTGTACGTTACGCCAAAGACGCCATCGTCATTGGAGCCAGCTGGACAGACAGCACAGGGAGGAAAGGAGTTGAGGGCTTATTGTTCAGATGTCTGTCGGTCTGTCTGCCTGTCTGGCGTCTGGCGTGTCTGTCCGTTGTGGTTGTGTACAGCGCCTGTGTACCTTGTTCGTCTTTGATACTGTGGCCTGTGGGGGTGTACAACGGCATGCGATCCTCTCGGCCGTTGGCAGACCCAGACACCTGCAGGCAGACACAGAGTGACGATGCCCAAAGATGGAGGGACGCACAGCGACAAAATGTGTGTGAGAGATGAATCCTCACTCACTTGAGGTTCGTGGACGTCTATTTTGCCCACGGTCTTCCTGTTCTGCTCTCGTCCTGCACGACTGGCACCGTCCTTGGGATCGAAATGGTCCACCCTCTTGTCGGTGCCATTGCGCCGGCCAGTGCCGCCCTGCCGCTGCTTGACAGGGGAGGGCAACGTCAGCGGCAAAAACGGGTTGTGGAGAGGCGGTAGCGAGGGCGGCGCGTTGCGGAGGCCCGGGCCCTGCTGTCGGCCACTCGGCAGCGCCAGTGACGGTGACGCGACGGGAAGGGGCGACAGATGGTGCAACGCCCTCTGCTGGTGGTTGTAGGTGTGGCGGCGGTTGATGGGTGAGCGACGGCGACCGGATTGGGTACCGGCAGGTGAGGCCACAGCACCGCCGCGATGGCGCTGTCCCGTCCGGTTGGCGCCACACTGCAGCCGGGTGGACGTTGCGTGACGGGCGGGGAGGGTGACGAGCGATGGACGGCTGGCTCAGCTGCAGGCGTGACAAGGGTCCTGAGGGCCGGGGCGGCTCCGGCGAGTCCGACATGATTGCTGAAGACGGAGGAACACTGACCAACTCAGACCTGCACACACAGACGCACAGCCATCCGTCACAGAGGTCAGATTATCGCTGCATGCGAACATGCAGGGCCTGGCAGTGCCCGTGTTCATCCACATGGCATTTTGTCCCACCCGCGGCTTCCTCCCTCGTCTCAGCTTCGCTTACTTGAACTATTGTGACAAACCGCGGTCTCTATGACGTCAGGCAGTGGCGTTCGCCTCTGCAAAAGGCGTGGAGAGCCATTTTTCCATTGCCATCAAGAGCTTTGATGTTACAGGGTCGAAAGTGTTTCATGTACAAGCTCGCAATTTTAGCGGGATTCGGTGCTCCCTGAATCGCACAAATCAACAGAGGCAGCGTTTGCTCCGGTTGCCTGAGTCTCGGGCACCTGCCTGCACTGCCAACATCAATGCCAACGTTCCTGCAGCAGCCGAGCTCGACAGCATGATCCCCAACAGCGTCCAAGGCAGCGTCGCAGGGAGCTACCACAAGGCCCGAGGCGTGTGGGTGGCCAGCCCCAAGAAGGCGCCCATCAACAACGCAGAACAGACCACGGCAGAAGTCAGCGCAGAACAACTGAAGGTGCGTCTCATCAGAAGCCACCAAAACCATGACCTGCACACACGTGTGGATGCGGGTGTGTGTTGGTGTCAGAGCATCAACGCGTTGAATCTGGATAGGCCCGCGGGTAGCCCCGAGCATGCGTCCAAGATGCCATGGAACAAGAAGCATACCTCCAAGGGCCGCTCATCGTCGGGTGCTCACTCAGGTATGCAAGCAAGGCGGCAGCAGTGAGCATCGGAGTATGTGTGTGCACTCGAACGTGTTCTCTAGGTGGCTCCCAAGGCCGAGCTGACGGATATGGCGGTAGTGGTGGTGGAGGTGGTGGTGGGCAGTCCTCTGCGCCTCCGCCCCTTCTCAAGACGCCCATGGGCCTGCCGAAGTGGCCGGTGCAGCATGTGGTGCGTTTGCTGTGCTCTGATAACACGGCTACCACCATGATCAGACACGAAGGTAAGGCAGTGCACAGTGCAGGGGTGCAGCTGTGTATGTGCCTGTGGATGGATGGATTGATGGATGGATGGATGTGTCTGTGTGACGGTGCGATGGAGGGTTGCAGGTGAGTTCTTTGATTCCATGCGGCGTGAGGCGGGCGTGATCATCTCTATCACCGAGCGCGGCGCCTTCCGCTCCGGCAAGGAGTATCGGATACTCTATGTAAGGGGACCGATCAAGGGCATCCTGAGGGCACTCGAACACGTCGTGGTCAGCCACACACAGACAGGCATGCCAACAGACGCTCACACACACACATTTATCTGAACCTGTTGCATGAATGTATGTGTGTAGAGTAAGGTGTACGAGGCGTGTTCGGCCAAGTGTGTGGTGTGTCGCGTGCTCGTGCCGGCGGGGGACACGGCGGGCATCACGGGCACGGGAGGCGGCGGCCTGTCGACGCTGCTTGACGCCACGGGGGCCACGGTCAAGGCAGAGGGGACCGAGTACCAGTAAGTGTGGATGGAATTGGCCTGCTTGAATCACATTTGTCTGATTTGCGTGTGGTTGGTCACGTGGATGTGCAGTGGTGGGGAGACGTTCCGTATCGTGAGTGTCAGTGGGGGAGAGGAGGCGGTGCTGTGCGCACTGACTCACATCGTACAACAGCCGCTTCAGGTCCGCCTGTCAGAGAGAGCAAACAACATTACACACACGAACACCCCAGCATCATACCGTGCCTGCGTGTCTGCAGGTGGCTGAGAAGGGCGGCCCTGGTGCTGCCTCTCCGCACCAGCACCGCACTCACAAGGCTCCCCCGCCTCCCCCGCCTCCACCCCCACCTCCACCTCCCCGTTTCCCTCCCCCGCCCCCGCCCCCCCGGCTACCCGTCGTGCTCTCCTGCTGCTGGCCTTACCAACAACCGCTGCACCAGTACTGAATGCACCACACCCGGATGTGGCAGGGCGCGTGGACGCATACTCGAATGTGTGTGTGTGTGCGTTCAGGTCATCGTCTGTCTCATCCACCATGTTGGCCACTACCAGCGGCTCCTGCAGTGGCGGGGAGGCCGACAGTCTCGGCCATGAGGGGGAGGAGGACCGACACGCCGACATATACACACCTGCTGCTGCCAGACCAGTGGCGCACAAGAGGTCAGCCATCTCCACCACACTGCCAAAAGACCAACACAAAGACCAAACATAAACACGTACAGCCGCTTGTTGTCTGCCTATGGAAATGTGCGTCATGCAGTGATAAGCACGATATCAGCAGTGGGGATCTGGGGGCCGGCCACTATGACGACCGCGCTGATAAAGGGTCCAGGTACGCACATACCAACGCAACGCACATCAACCAGCGGTGACTTCTGCTGTCGCGAATGGATGGCTGCAGTGGGTGTGATGAGATGAGTGAGGTGGAGTATTTGCGGATGCAGGTGGAGGCGATGCACATGGAGAAGGAGGCCATCCAGAGGCGACACGAGGCCTTCATCCAGGAGATCATCGCCGCTGCATCAGAGGGGCTTCCCGACCTCCAATCGCAGCTCACGGTCGTCTTCTCCTGACTCATCCGCCATCCATGTGTTGCGAGAAACGAGTGTATGTGTATGTGTGCGCGCGACACGGCGATGATAAAGGGGGAACGACGAGAGGGATAGAGGCGGGTAGATAGATTAGTTGTTGGGTGGCTGAGACATGTTTAGGTACGTGCATGTGCATAGGTCGCTTCCGTCACCTGCATACAGGGAAGCGTTCGGGCACGGTGAGGTAGCTATGGATGTGAATACTGAAAGGTACATGCCATCTGTCGCGATCGCTTGCGAGCTCGGGGGGCTGGTGGGGGCCCGCGGCCGAGAAGGAGGACCACGGAAGAACGCCGCCCCGGCCTTCAAACCACAATTGTTTCGGCATGTCGGAGTCTGTCGATGAAGGGGCGAAGAACACCGAAAAAAAGCTGGAGGGCGCCGCTGACCAGGAAGAAGACCTTGCGGCGGAGGACGTAAGGAGTGCTGGCTTGATGAATCAGACGTGGATGTGCACGTGTCGACATTCACCAGATTGAGCAACTGGAGTACCAGGGGTTGACATTCCTTGAATACATGGAAGAGTTCGAAGTCATCAAGCAAGATGCCCTGGGCGAGACGCGAAAAGACATATACTCTTACAGTAACTCAAGAAGTACTGAGAAGCAGAGTTCTCCTGGTTTGTGTGACATACGTTAACTCATAGCGCAACGGCAGGCAGAGTCTGTCGGTCTCTCATGAAACGAACTACGTCAACGTCGACCAACCCTCAAGTTCTCCTGGTTTGTGTCCTGTGATTCTTCTGCAGTGGCTGTGGCCACCAGGGAACCTTCATTGGAAATCAAACCACAGCGACTCCTTCGTTCGAAATCAGCGATCATGCCAAAGGGACTCTATCAGGGATAGCGAATACGATACTGGTGCAACCTCTTAGCCGTTTTGTGGCTCCAAATTGGGGGGCCCACAATTCTCGGCCTCCGTACACAAAACATGACTCGTTGTTGCTTTCATCGAGTGAATGAGAGCTTTTTGTCCTTTCTCGTATGCAGACTTGTATTGAAAGTACACCTCCGCTAATCGTGAAGACCCAGATGACGATGGATACTATGACAAAACGCCGCGAGAAGAACTGCCTGCTATAGACGACAATTTTGATGTAGGCATCGGCGCTCTGACGGCCAGATTGCTAGCCATTGGTTTCTTGCCACCTATGTTCTTCAACACCTTCCACGTGAGAGGATGCTTCTTTAACCACATCGATGTGTTTCTTTTGTGGCTGCTTGAATATAGGAGTTCACCCGACTCGTGTACTCCTGGTTTACCGTGGAGATATATTTCATTCCTCGAATAGTCTGACGGGCATTGTGGTTGACATATTGGTATCTGGATGAAAAGATGAAACACTTTGAGTTCATCATTGTTTTTAACTTTCAATACCTTTCTTGCTCACTCATTTCTGATCATGCTCTACCTCATCCTGCTACCTATTCTGCTCTGGCTAGAGACGGACCCCATCAATGTTGTACTCAATGCTCTAGCATTTCACTTCTTCGTCTCCATCGTGAGCACTAATGAAAAAGCAAAGGCTTCTAAGGCGTGAGCTGTATATCATTGTGGTAGGACAATATTGGAGACACACATCAAGTCACACTGGTTGATGACATCGATGTCAACGCCTGTTATCGTCTAATTGAACACAAGTTCGACATCTACAAGAAGCGATTCTTCAAAGAGCTTACCGAGTGCCTCAAATGGACTCACGGACGGTTGCGTAGAAAAGAATACACAGCAAGATAATAGCACGATACACATTGTTCTATTCTACTCCTGATTTCACTTGAACAGCGGCAGAGTTGCGGAGCCTGATATTTCTGCGAAACTGAGAGTGAACTTGGTGGCTTGGGAGCTTCGATACAGTCGCATGATGCGAGGCGCATTGAGCTATGCCATTGATGGTATTGGTAACGTTGTGAACTTAGTGATATTCTTCTTCTTCATCATATTCCCAAGCATAGAGGGCCTGGCTATTGTTGCCATAGCGTCAAGCATGTGCTGCTTCCTTGGTGCAAAAAAGGAATTATTTGGTATCAACTTTTCTTTTGCACTCGTGGTTCATTTTTGCGTGCAGGAGCATTTTTTGCCTTGTGTAATACTGCGGTAAAAAAAAATACTCACACTCGATACGCAGCTTTCCACGTGTGTGTGTGTTTTTCTCTCTCTCTCTCTCTCTCTCTTTCTCTCTCTCATCTCTCATATTCAGTTTTGGACTGAGTGCGAATTGTGTATAGGCGCACGCCATCTGGGGATTTCGTCAGGTGGATTGACATTACTAATCACACACACACACACACACACACGCACAAAGGGCACATGCATCTTTCTGCAGAAGACCCCTTTCTCGAGGAACTACCAACTCGCAGGGCGTACGCAAAAAAGAAGAAAGACAATTTCGGACTCCTTCAGCTTGATGGCGCACTCACTTAGTGTCTGTCTAAATATCGAGCCGGTCAAAACATATATGCGTGTTTGGACGTCCGTGTTAGGTGCTTCTTCTGTGTATTGCTTGTTTGTTTGCTGTGCGGTGTGACCTATCATATATTGCTGAGTCCTTTGGCAACTAAGTCCTTTGGCAACTAAAGACTACCGAAGGAGAGGATTTAGTTGCCAAACAGGAAAGACAGCCAAGGCAGTAGTCGACGAGGCGTTCAACGGAAGTATGTCTGTCCAGTATTGTATGGGCACACTTAACTACTCCCGGCTCTTTCACACACACGCAGGATTACGTCTTCGCATTCCCCATGTTCGCACACAACACACCATACGCCACACACACGGATCAGCTGCCTTATTCTGTCGATTTTCCTGGCCGTCTGCGTTCTCCTGACGTTAGCCTTCTTCGTCTCATCTATCTGTTGCGAGATACGACTGCATGTGTGTGCGTGCCACGGCGATGATAAAGGGAGTACCGACGAGAGGTAGAGGGGATAGATAGATTGGTTGTTGGGTGACTGAGACATCTTTAGGTGGCTGAGACATGTTTAGGTACGTGCATGTGTACGAGTCGCTTCTTTCAGCTGCAGACGTGGGACGGATGGATGGATGGATGGATGTGTGTGGGTGCGCTGGTAGGTGTGTATAGCTAGCTATGAATGTGTGACACGTCAATCAATGCTCATGGTTCTCTCGGCGGAGGGCGGACGCATTCATCAACGAGACGCGTAGAGCAGCACAACGACAGCACCCAGGACTGACGAGAGATCGGATGTTGGGCGACTGAGACGTGTCTAGATCTACGGATGTGCATAGGTCGCTTCCTTGATGCATATATGGGATAGGGTGGGATGGGATGGGATGGATGTGTGTGGGTACACGCGTGACATTGGAGGGAGGGACAAAGACAGATATGCGTCAATCAAGGCTATTGGATGGGATGTGTCGATTAATCGACTGCATCCCATCCCATCCAATAATGTGTCTCTCACCCCCATTTGCGACACGCAACTTGCTCCAGGTCTTAAATCGACATGGCAGGACGGGATCAGCAGGCAGGCACATAGGAGGAAAAAGATCAACCGACGTTTGTGGATGTGTACGTAAAGTATGTAGATACAAATAGGCAGACAGAGAGACAGGCAGGCAGGCAGACAGCCAGACACGCAGACACACAGGGGTGGTCAGCATGGGATTGGGCAGCCTCGGCCTGCGCCCAGCGACGTGAGGGCCCGTGCGACACACGACAGACGCGCACGTACCACCCCCAGCCCCCCAAACCCATGACCATGGGGAAGGAGTAGTGAGGCTGACAGACATGTAGATACGAGAGGACGACGGACCAGAGATGCAAGAATGCAGGCTTGCACAGCACAGAGAGAAGGCAAGAGTGGTCAGTAGCCAGATAGCCAGACAGCCAGCCTCCAGACATGCGAATCAGGCGAACGATACCGATGGCTGACAAATCGACAAATGCATGATGGAAGGAAGCAGACAGGCAGCGAGAAAGGCAGCCAAACAGACGGACAGGCAGCGAGCGAGGCAGCGGAAGAGATGAGCGAGCAGGTAGGCAGGACCGGCAGGCAGCGAGAGTGGCTGCAGCCAGACAGACAGACAGACAGACAGCGAGCCACCGATGGGAATAGCCGCTGGATCGACGAGCGCGTAATGGAAGGAAGCAGAGAGGCAGCGAGAAAGGCGGCGAAAGAGCAATGAGGGGAACAAGCAGGACAAACGGGCAGCAAGAGAGACAGCCAGCCAGCCACAGTCCCTTGAGTGTCTTAGGTCGACGGCAGTGGCTTATGCGAGCTTGCACACATCACATGCACTAGGCATCCACGACCAACATCTTCACACACATGCCGATCCCATGAACGAAAACCGACACAAAGCTCGCCAGGCAGGCCGCACCAGCAACGCGTCGCGTGAAGACCGGAGCGTAGTGTGGGTGGCGAAAGACCTCCACACACACACACAGAGAGAGAGAGCGCGAGAGGGATGGATGGATTGATGCACGCACACAGAAAAACCGACAAGTATCCATCCACATGCTGGCTCGTGCACATGGGCGATCTTGTGTGTGAGCGCCAGGGCGTCCTTGAGCGAAGTCAGCTCACGCGAAGGCGTCGCTGCATCGACACCGAGGGTGAGCTGACTTTGTTCAGGGACACCTTGGCACTCACCAACAAGATCGCCACCCTCCCCTCAGGAACGAACAACATGAACCAATGCCCGTGCACGTGTGTACGTGGTATGGGTGTGAGGGTCGCAAAAATGGGGTGTTTGCAACACGCAACTTACTCCAGGTCTTAAATCGACACGGCAGGACGGGATCAGCAGGCACATAGGAGGAGGAAAAAGATCAACCGTCGTTTGTGGGTGTGTACGTGTGTACGTACGTATGTAAATATGTAGATACAAATAGACAGACAGACAGACAGACAGAGAGACAGGCAGGCAGGCAGGCAGGCAGACAGGCAGACAGGCAAATTGCTCCACTCCGTCGCCACTCTCTCTCTCTCCCCCTATCTCTCTCCCACACGCAGCCCGCACGTCAGCCACCGACACACAGCCAGCTTCCTGAGCTATCTATCCCCCGCTCCACATACATGTCCACGGTGCAATGGATGGATGGATGGATCACCCCTTCTCCCTCATACATGCCACTTAGGGTCGATGTGTCTGTCTGTCTATCCGTCTGTCCCTTATTGTGGGCTGGGAGCGGGCACCAACATCTGATGACGACAAGATAAGGGATAAGCAAGCCGGCCGGGCCAGCGGGGAGCAAAACCTCTCAGGCTCACTGCACTGCACGCAGAGGAAAAAGGAGCTGCATACATGTGTGTGTGGATGTGCAGGCACACAGGCAGGCAGGCAGACCGAGACGAACAGGGAGGGAGGGACGGGACGGGACGGGACGGCAAGAGAGAGAGACCAGGAAAGCAACAGTGCGCCCGCCCAGAGGGCATGGATAGATAGAAGTGTGTATGTGCAGATACCCAGACAGACAGACAGACGTGAATAATGACCATCTCTCCCCTCTCATAAGTATGAGTGTCAGGATGCAATGGATGGACGTGTGTGTGAGTGAGGGATGGATGGATGGATGTGTGTGAGGCCTCATTGTCCCTCCCTCCGTCATGTGTCTGTCTGTCTGTCTAAGGCTGCTGGTGTGGCTGTGGGTTGGGGGTGGGGGGTGGGCACAAATATCTGAAAGGGAGGGAACCGATAGAGATAGACAGACGCCGTCCGTCTCTGTGCCGATTGTGAGTGTGTGTGTGTGCCGACCTGGTCAGTATTCTTCATCTTTTTCAGCAGCCAGATTTTGATGGCGCACACCTCTTGTCTGGACAGTTTCCCGCCGAAATTTTGGACGGACGCGTCGTTGGCCGGCGTCTTCTCCTCAAGCATGAGCGCGAGCGACGCTCCGGTGACACCCTCCTGCTGCAACAAAACACAACGAACGCATCCCGCCCACCCACCCACACACCCCCATCATGTGAAGCATGCGCTGTGCTGTGTGTCTAATCACTGACATCTTTGACGTGCTGCCAGAGGTCCGGATTGGCTTTGAGGATCCCTTCCTGTTGTTCCAGCAACGCCAGCACGTCTGCATGGCTCAACTCCTCGAGCTTCTTGGGGCCGTGCTGAGCTGCACTCACGCCGGATGGTGGGCCGCCTTGGTGCCCCTGCTGGACTCCACTGCCTGCCTGCACTGACGGCACACCTGCCACACATATACACACACACACACACACACATACACACACACACATGGGTGCATGCGTCTGCGAAGGTATGTGGGCCCCTCCCTGCCTTGTCCCCCGGTCCCTCACCTGGTTTGTCGCTTCCCTCATTTTTGACATCCGCAGCCGGCTGGTTGTGCGGCATCGGCGGGGGAGGCGCATAGGGTGGCAAACCGTACGGGCACGGGCCTGACACGCGCATACAACCGTGCCTTGTTTGTTTCCAGACAGACAGACAGACAGACACTGACCCTGCTGGGGAGCCGGATACTGTGCGTGTGGGTATGTGCCGTAGGGCCAGTAGGGATGTGGTGGCGGCCAGTAGTGAGGGTAGTGTGGTGGCGGATGTTGGGGTGGCCCTTGACTCCGGCCAGCCCCCTTCTTGTCGCCCTTGGAGTCGTCACTTGCCGTTGCCGCTCCCTTCTCCGCGGCCGCAGCACCAGAGCCACCTCCGGCACGCTCACCGGACGATGCGGCAACACCCACACCTGCAATCACGGATAGAGAGATGAATGGCAAATCCACTCACGATGGTTTGATGTGTCTGTGGCCTTCCCTTCTCACCGTTGTTGGCTGTGTCGGCCGGCACTCCCTCTTCTCTGTCCCCGCCAGCAGACTGCCCGACTTGGTTGCAGTCACCGCCACTCCCTGAATGAAGGTGCACATGCAGGGTGCGTCACTCCCTTTCTGTTCCTTTTACCACTGGCGTGCCGCTCCCCGTCACCACCACCCCCACCACGACCTGAAAGGGACGGGGATGAGCTGATGATGTCGGTCTCAATCTGGACCAGCTCACCGGTCTGTGCGTTGGCGGCCGGTGCTACTTCCCCTCCCCCTCCCCCTGTCCCTTCGCGTGACTCCTGCACAGAGGCCTGGAAGCCATCGCCATCGTCATCGAACACAATGGGACGGTCAGATGATGATCCATTCTCTCCGGGAGAAATGCGTATCTGCCCATCCCACTGGGGCAGAAACTGCCCGCGGCGGCGTGCTCGCGGCGGGAGTCCCGGCGCACTCGCGGCGTGCTCGCCCTTGACGGTCTCGGACTTGACGGTCTCTTCGTCTTGCTTTGCTTCCATCTTGAAGGGCTGGGGTGGTGCGGCAGCTGCTGGGGTGGGGGGAGCAGCCATGGGTGGTGGCTGCTCGTGCTGGTGTTGGTGCTGGTGCTGTGGAGAGGGTGGGGGAGGGGGCTGAGGCTGGGCAGCAGGGGAACCTCCTGCACGCACAGAGGAAGGCCATATACACACAGCAGGGTCTGAATGCGCGCATCGAGCTGCCTCACGTACCGTGCAGCTGAGCCATTGCGGCGGTTTGCTGCAGCATGGCCAACTGGACAGCGTCGACAGCGTCGGTGAGCGGCACCCAATTCCACCACCTACGCCTTCCCTTCGACACGATGACATCCACGCCCAGCGCAGCAATCACCACCCGCACTGCCGGCACGTTATCGTTGACGTCATCCGCGATCTCCAGCTCGGCGTCGTCGGCGTACCTCTTGAGCAATCGGGGTGTACCTTTCGCTGCGACCTTTTTGACAAGCTTCTGTCGGCAGTCGGCGACGACATCCTCTGGGTCAGGCATGGGCGGGCCACCAGCACCCATCGGCGCGGCCGCGCCAGAAGCACTAGTATCTAATAGAGACGCACGCGCAGCAGTAGGTATCCCTCTATCGGTTGGGTGTCCCCCCGTTGCTTCCTGACTTACCAGCCATCGGGTCATCCCCCACGCCACCCCCCCCCCCC